TTTTATCGAGATAGAGACGTCTGGGTACGAGGCAGACATAAGACCATATAATACTACAATTAGAACCGATTTTTTTTATTTCAACTCCGGGCCCTTGAAATTAAACAAAAAGAAATGATTAAGGCCTCAGAAAAATTTTACAAAGGTGACTACTTCATTTGAAAAAAAAAAAATTCCCCCCTCACCTTGAACCACATTCTTGAGCCTTCCTTTTTTAAGTGTAAGGGTCCGCAGTGTCAGCTTATGTGACTTGTCCACTTAAAAGAGGTGGTTTTTAACCTATGCCAATAACGAAGACATAATTTAGTTCATTGAAAATACAGCTTTGACTTCCTTTTCGCACTAAATGAGACTTGCGTATACTTAGGGCCTCTTCATATGAGCCCGGTTGACCGGGCTGCCTCGGTTACCTGATGAATTTTGCCTTGGGTTCATATGGGAAATTTCAACCCGGTTTCCGAAATGAGAAAAGGTCAAAGATCCTGGGGACGAGTTCTGGCGCCAAATTCGTGAAACAAAGCAAACATGGCGAAACACAAAATTTTAACTTTCGGGCCTATCTTAGCATCGGTAACACTTAAAGCTAAATGGGATGCTTATGATGTGGAATATATATAGATGCCAATCAAATTGCGTGACTGACACACCAGTTCCATTTGTAAAACTTTGTCCTCCCGTTAACAGGAAAACAATTTCCTCGGTTAGTAAAATATAGATTTGGTTGTTGACTCGCCTTGAAAAATATCGTAAATGCGAATTACTGATTAATTATATATCAACTGAAAACTGGAAAAAATGTAATTTGAAATCTATTGTTGTTTTGTTTGTTTTATAGATCCATGTTTAAAAATCCTGTCCATGGTTTAGTTTGCAGTATTACAACGTCGGCTAAGCTGAATTCCTGGTCGAAAGAAGTTGTTTTTAAATAGTTGTCAAGTTTTTCTTCTGGAGGCTCGGAAATGTTTGTTTTGTTGTTAATTTTATCTTTTAGTGAAATTTGGTAATTCATGTTTACCCGCGTCTTTTACCCGCACCCGCACCCGCGACCCCTACCCGCGAGTCGTGACTTGCAACATTTAGACATACTTTCAACTACGACTATATTAAGCCATTAGGACATTAACGGTAAGTTACAATCATTAGAACAACAACGATAAATAACAACCAACTTCGAACTTAGGCCTTTTTAGGACATTTGGACAACAACGATAAATTCCAACCAACTGAGGTAATTTAGGGTGTAAACCATAATAGGCCAATTAAGGACAACAACGATAAAAAACAAACAATTGAGGCTATTTTAGGACAATAACGATAAGTTACAGCCAACTGAGGTAATTTTAGGCCAACAACATGGAGGGTACCAACGCAGTTCATCAAAAAAGTATACATAACGGCAAATAATGATATGGGGGTACCAACGCAATTTATCAAAAATTGCATACATCAGCTTAATAGAACATGGGATATCAGCGCAATTAATCAAAAAGTGCATACATCAGCAAAATGAAAAACACCAGGCCAAAAATGCGAGGTGAAAAAATACCATTTAGAGGGCCCAAACGAGCAAAAATATGCATAAGAGAGGCTGTCTGAGGATAGATATTGGAAAAATGCGCTGGTACCCCCATATACTATACTACTAAATTTTAATTTCCCGCCGTAGATCTACGAACGGCCTGCCAGTCCTCCTGGAATCCGCTCTTCTGAGCCCTCCCGTAGAGTCGGTTCCTTGTCTTTATAAGTTCAGCTTTATCTCGGAAGTGATGGACAATCATGGGTTTTGTAAAACTTTATGGTCTTGTGTTAAGGAAATATCATGGTCGCAAAGTGGTCATCGTACGTTTGGGGTCGACGAATCATTTCATAACGACTGGGAGCAACACGCAAGATTTCGGCGTGTTGAAGTTTGGCATTGAAGTTAAAAGCCATTGATGAACCCCCATAAGCTCCTGTATCGTGGATGATGCACAGGTCGCCAATTTGAGGATTCAAATTTAGCACTTGGTCGATAGCAAATTTGTCCTTGTTCATGCAAATTGAACCCACGACATCGAACATTCTCTCTCTCTTGTTTCCTTCAAAGAGCGGAGATGCGTAGGAAGGGTCTTCGATCACCGTTTTGTAATCAGGTAGATTCTTTCTGACATGGCTTGGAAAAGACTGATCTTTGACAATCGTGATATCACGATAATCTTCGCACTCCCCTTGAAGGATGAGATCAGCCATAGATGAATCCAGACCGAGAAAGCGTTTGTACGTGTCTTTCATGTTGATCACTCGTGAAATAAGACAACCATGTTCAGCGGTCACCAGTGCTCCACACTCGTACTTGATCTGTAAAGGATGCAGACCGTGGCAGGGCAGCACGATTTCTTCATATAAATCCTTCACTCGATATCCCAGGTCTCCCAAGTTGACGGTTTGTTGTTCAGGGCGATACTTAACGCCTATCCCACCGCCCATGTCGACGAATTCAAGGCTAACACCTGTCTGCTGGTAAATTTCAACGGCCAGCTGAAACATCATCTGCGAAATTTTTGCAAGCTCCAAGACATCAAGGCAGTAGCACTTGATCATGGTGTGCAACCCAAAGCGCTTTACGCCATATTCCTTGCACTTCCTGTAGGCTGAGAAAAGCTGAGCTTTCGTGAGGCCAAACTTTGCTTGGTCAGGGTTACCAATCACCTCGTTACTAGGCAGAGTACAGTGCGGACCAGGATTAAAACGGAATGACACTATGTCAGGCATTATACCACCCAATGCCTTCTTGAGGTTGTCAATCTGCGAAAAGTCGTCCAGGTTGATAATGGCTCCAAGTTCAAAGGCCTTCCTATATTCTTCGAACTGTGTGTCGTTAGAAGTGAAGATGATATCTTCACCTTTAATTCCCAGTTTCTCACAGAGAAGAAGTTCTCCTAAGGAACAGCAGTCCATACCCATGCCACACTCTTCATTAAGAATTTTCAGAATCTTTGGAGTCGGTGTTGCTTTTATCGCGAAATGGTTCTTGAAGCTCATACCAGTAAGTGACCGAGTCCATGCGAAGCTTTCATTGAAAATTCTTGCGCCTTTTAAAATTGATTCCTTGTCATAGAGCTGAAAGGGAGTTTGGAAGATCGAAGCCATTTGCCTCAGCTCTTCTTCACTGCAAAGCAGCGGTTTGATATTGTTAATTGCATTCGTTGCTGGTTCTGTTTGGTAGGATCCCATGTTTTCTGTAGGTCTCTGCTCTTCCTGGCTAAAACAGCTCACTTCTCGCGGCTCAAGTGGGAAGCTGAAAAAAGAAGACGCATGTTGTAAAAGTTGAACTCCGTTAACGAACTAAATGGTCACAGATTAAAAATGATGAAGGGTACTTTCTATTTGTCAGAAGTGAGCGGCCAGCTCCTTCTTGTCGTAAGTAAAAATTTCACTTTTAATCAAAACTATTGAGCTATATCCCTCAGATCCTAAATAGGGTGCGCGAAAGATACGGTTTTTCAGCAAAACTCTTTGGAAAAGCCTATTTCTTTCAGGTCAAAATGACCGGTCCGGCCATGGTCCGGCCACAGCCAGGTCTTGGGTTTGGAAAGCGCCTCAAGTTGGGAGTCTGTAAAACGAGGAAACGGACAGCGGATGGCGGATAGCGGACGGCGGGTGTCGGAAAATAAGGAATAAATAAATAAACGTATAAGATGAATAAGATAGATAAAAATAAGACAAATAGATAGTAAGAATTCAAAATATTAAAAATATAGATATCAGTTGTGACATCTCTGGATTGTTGGAGAGAAGATAGACAGAGTGCGCAGTTACCTAGTTCGCTCGAATTTCAGAATTTTTCTCTAAATTCACATTTGTTAACAGTCCGGGCCACAACCAGATCTGGATATATGATGACGTCACCCACATTTGCAAAATGGCGCCCACGCGGAGAAACACGAGGGAAGGTCGCTTCCAGGCTCTTTGCTGCGCCTAGAAGTGTCTTTTCCCCATACTACTTTGAGAGCTGTGACTTAAGACGATGAGAAATCAGGGGTGTGAAGAAAAAATTCCCACCGATGAACTTTTGTGCGTTCTTGGGAGGTAAAACGACCGAACACGAGAATTTTTCAGCTCAAAGAAATGCCGGATAAGGCGCAAAACATCTAAAAAAAGAAGGTGAGTTTCAATTTTCTGATCCTTGGAAACAATTTTTTTAAAATCTACATAAATTTGCTGGTGGTCTGTTTGGTGTAGTGCATAGCGAATTCAAATAGTGCTGTGCTTTGGAAGATGCAACAGTCAGTTGCGCCGTTCACGTGCTGGTTTTGTAACGCCATGTTTATTTTATGTTATCTTGCAGTTGGATGCAAAAAAGCACCTTGTTTTTGTGGCAAAAAGATGCCGCCGGTTTGTGCGTGGAGAACCGTAACCATGGTCTTGCCTGATCACAAAGTGGCAATAACAAAACAGTTCAAACACTGTAAAGCTTATTCAGAAGCTATTATCGAGGAAGGGAATACGCGCTCCAGTCAGAAGACTCGCATTTATAGAAAAACACCAAGCTGGAGTCTACTGAGTCACAACGCATTTCTCCAAAGTTTATGCAGCTTCAGTTGAAGCTGCACTTAATTCTTATAACTTTGTATCTGTAAATCACTTTCCGTGATAATTTGACACCCTGCAAAGAAAACTCATGAGCTGGCCCCAGCGTGATACAACATTGCAAAAAAAAAAAACAAACAACATTATTATTTACATTCACGGACTAACAAAAATCGCTTAGTTATTCAGATCCAGAAGGCACTTTGGAGAAAATTAGAACCCTTATTCAACTGTAATAAAATGCTTTACGCTTCAAAAACTGAGGTCAGAGAAAATGCTCTTGCATTAGAGGGAAAATCCTTCAGACCAGATACAAAAACCACAGTAAAACGATATGTGTGCCATGTACTCTCAGTGTGAAACAAGCGGCTAAAATCACAATTGCTCAGTGAAAATGTGCAACCTTCCAGATCATAATTACCCTGTGTGCCGGGTAGATCATAATCTACCCAACAAAGGAAAAAAACTTAATTGGAACGAGCAGCATTTTGGCATGAGGTAAAAGTCGTGTAGGCCTACCACCCCACTTTATTGCTATTAGAACACGATAAAGTCCACATCTGAACTGGCCATGGTGAATGGTATTTTAACATTTTCATCCGCAAGGGGGTTTTGAAACACAAAAAGACAGACCTTGATTAATGACTGTTTACGACCCTTCGTGAGTGCAATTTAAAGAAATTTTATTTATTTTGTCACCTTCGCATATTAATCCAAGATGTTTGACGATTGAAATATTGAAAATTAATACCCAGCACTCCTTCGATCGCAATTAGATTTTAGTGCGTATGGTATTGCTCCTGAAGAAGCATAGAACACACTACTCTAGGCCGAAGCGGTGCTCGCAAAAAGTACTCCAAACACGACCTCTTTATACCCTTCCACTTAAAATGTATCAGTATTTCAAGTATTCAAATTCCCTACTCTTCGCTTTCGATCGGTGTCATCGAGTTGCTTCGGGTCTCTTGATATCAGAAGTCCAGGCGTTTTTACAGAAACCTTCCTCTACAGTTGCCCGTCCTCGATCATTATCATCTTGATATTTGTAAATCGAACGCTAAGACAAATAAAATCATCTCGATTAATCAGTTTAGTATCACATGCTGTTACCTTTCTTCAAGGAACATCCCAGCCATAGCGCTCTTTGCTTCGAAATTTCTGTCGAACTTAGTCCTTTCGCAGTCAAATCAATGTTTTGGTTGCGGTCTGGACCAATCACATTCCAGGAAATTACAGATCCAGATCTGGTTGTGGTCCGGACTGGTTAAAACTTATCTCATTATGTAATGATTTATGTAATAATTTGTTGTCAAATCATACTGATGACATTTGACTGACCATTGTAATCATTACATTGTAATCATTGTTTTGTTGTTGTTGTTGTTGTTGTTTTCATTCAATTGGCTTACTATCCCTATTAATTATTGGGATTAATTGTAACTTAATCTTAAAGCTTTTGCAATACTGTAACTTCATATAGTCATGCAAATAAAGCTTATGTTGTTGTTGTTGTTATTTTTTTATACATTTGCTGTTTGCCGCAGCCCACTGCTTTAGATCTCAGTTCCGGGTCAACTGACTCCGATTATATAACAAACACACAAGTACAAACAAAACTTTAAAAGATGGAAGAGTGGGCTCGGCTTCTCGCCTAGATTCAAGCCTTTTTGAAGAGGGGCGAGAGGAGAGAGCTGTAAAAAAAGCCCGGGGGATACTCCCTTATATAAGCCATATAGGTATGTACGCTCCAAAGGGTATGGTTTTCGTCGCCGTTTTGGTCTGGAATCGGGTACGCGTTTCGAGGAAACAACGGGTCGGAATGTATGTACGTATTTATCGGTTCAATTCCAAACTAATAAGAGAGAGTAGTTTAGTAGTTGGCGGTTCATGCTCTTTTGTCGTTTTTCGCTCTAAGGCCACTAACTAATAGGTCTTTATAGGCTTAAACTCAAATCAGCAAATCCATTTTTTGGAGCTTATCTTGGGCCTTTTGACGGGCCGCTGATTGACAGGAAGTTGGTAATTATAGCAGGGACTTTCCCTAACAGCAGGAAGTCCATACTCTTCCACCTCACACAGCGTTTTATTAAATGAACGAAAAGAGAAAAAGACCCATGGCAGAGTTACTGGAAGAAACCAAAGCTACTTCCAAATACATCAGAGAACAGGGGTACCATCTTGTGGAAGTCTACGAGTGCCAGTGGCGTCGAATTAAGAAAACCAACCCACAAGTTCAGCAGTTTCTTAACTCCAAGTTTATATCCCCTTCTTCCCGATCCGCTAATACCCAAGTTTGCAGAAATGTGCCCCGTTTTCAAAAATATAGAAATTTCAAGAGAAGATATCGGTCAACACATGCAAACCTTTGCTGAGGAAGAGAACATCATGTCACAACCTCGAAGAAGTCTCATTGGTAGCTATTTTGGTGAGAAGATTTTGTTGCCTTCCCCACTCATTAAGTGGTACTTGAAGCATGGTCTGGAAGTGACTCATATTTATCAAGTAGTGGAGTATACACCCGTTCCCTGTTTCCAACCCTTTGGAGAAGCTGTTTCGGATGCTAGACGGGCTGGAGATGTAGACCCAAACAAAGCTACCACCGCAGACACCATAGGAAGTTGGTAAATTGTTCTCCTATTGAGGTAAAGGAGGGGGGAATACTTTTTAAGGTACAAAAAAACTCATATCAATGTTGTCTTTTCTCATTGGTGGGAACTCGAGTTATGGAAAGGCTATAACTGTACCAAGAACGCCACCGAGAAGTCCAGTTTTGTGAAGAAACCAAAGCGTCCCCTCTAATAAACAAACCCTTCTTTAGACAGATTCACCAGATGGAAGAAAATACGTATGAAGTACAATCTTGCGAGAAAAAAATCAAGTTGAACCTTCCAATGCAGATAGGTTTTTTTCGTTTACCAATACGCTAAACTTAGAATGCTTCAGTTTTATTTTGATTTCATAGATAAGTATCTTGATCGTAGAGATTTTCAGTATTGTGAAATGGACACAGACTCTGCCTATATCGCGATCGCAGGGCAATCGGTAGAAAGTTTAGTAAAACCAGAGTTAAGTGGAGAATTTGAAGTAGACAAGGCCAATTGGTTTCCACGAACCGACACTCAGAACACAAAGCTTATGACAAGAGAACACCAGGTTTATTTAAGGAGGAGTGGTTAGAGACAGGTATAATTGGGTTAAGTGACAAGACCTACTTTTTCTTTGGGGCCTATGACAAGTTCAGTTGTAAAGGGGTTAACAAGAAAACAAACGACACTAACAAAGAAAAATATGTTAATGTTCTGTTGACCGAACAGAGTAGTGTAGGATTAAATAAAGGTTTTCGGGTAGTCAACAATAGTATGTATTCTTATAAACAAGTTCGAGATGGGTTTTCCCACTTTTATCCAAAAAGAAAAGTGTCGGAGGATGGCGTGAGCACCCAACCTCTCCATATTTAAATCTTGTTTATAAAAAATAGATTTGGTTGATAATTTTTGCTTTCTTTAAACTGTAAAATAGAATTGTGCATAAAAATTTTCCTAACGACGTAAACCTTCAAAAGAATTTTTGTACGTAGTTTGTAAATAAATATGGTTTGATATGCTAAACATGGCTTGAACCATTTGTGAGTGTGTATTCAACTC